AGATCCTGTCGATCTGAGCAAACTCCGGAAGTGGAAAATTTACCCCATTAACACGAGTACTCTATCTGCTCAAGATCCTGTCGATCTGAAGCAAGTTCAAAAGAAAAAGAAAAGGGGAGTACTATAATTTACTCAAGATCCTGTCGATCTAAGCAACTCCAAAAGAAGAAAGTATTATCATTGTTGTGCATACTCTTGATCCGGTCAATCAAAAACAAAGGTAGCATCACCAACATTCACACGAAAGATCTATTCTGAAGATCTTTGATATTCAATATCAAGAAATTTTTCTCGATTTTTCAGGTAATTATAATCATTACTTCCCGTCAAATATTGATCCGTTAATTACGTTTGTATATTCCTGAAAATTATGCTTGATGGCTATATTACCGGTCAAATACATAGAAAACTAGACATCCACTTAATTAAATATATTATCATATAGCCATCATCAATGTGTATGCATGATTTTGCTTTCATAAGTAATAGCATGTCAGGCTTTTGTCTCCCCTTCAATTATAACATGGAGTTACATATACATATGAAACTAGCTTTTGACCCGGCCCGTTGGCCGGAGAGTTTCATTTTATCGTTGACATTAATTCAATTTATCTATATGTTTAAACTATTTTAGAACTTCTAAATTTATTATATTTTGTATTGATAAGTGAGTATGTGGTGTGTCTATATATTGAAAATTCTCAATACTTAGCACATTCACTTATACTGTTTGAATTCTCTAATCATAAACCATGTCACAAAGGTATACCACGTCCATGTACAATTTTTTCTATCTTATTATGAATCCATGTTGTTCAGATGAGGACATCTTATGGAGAGTTTCTTTGTATATATACTTCATTATTGGATAAATTTCTTCATCCCAATTTAAAGTTGACACTTTGAATGTTTTGTCCCGCCGGAGTCCCTGGGTCAGGGAAGCAGTTTGGGGTTTCTGTTTTCTTGTTTGATGATGGTCGATTGTACTGCTCGACTTTGGGACTGGTTTGCGTCCCTGACTCGTTCTTCTCCTTTCTTTTTTCTTTTCGTTTCTTTTTCTTTTTCTGCTTTCTTCTTTAGTTTAAGTGTAGCGTCTCTTATTTGCTCTCTCGCAGGCCTATGAGGAAACAGGGGCTCTCTGGTGGGCCTAGTCTCCTTGGTAGGACTGTTTCGGCCCGCACTCCTCGTGCGTTCTTGTACCTTGAACTCGCTCGTTTTGTTTTTCTCTATATATCAATCACCCTTATAAAAAAAAAAAGTTTACTGTAAGATCTTATTTGTATTTAGTCTTTTATACAATATGTATCAATTGCTAATTTCTGAAATTTAATTTGGACTAACTGAGACTCATTGTCGTTGTTTATATATTGTTTTAGAATCTAAATCCAAGATACTCACATACGAATTTTGATCTTAATATAATGCGTTAGTGTATAATTTTACAACTTGTAGAACCTCCGTTTTCTAAAATTTATTTATGTTTGGTATTTGTTTAGAAATAAAAACTTCATTACTTATACTAATATATGCATTTTTTGTATTGCCACATTTATTGTCAATATATAAGCATATATATTAAAAAGAGATTAATTATTTTTCAGTGCAATTAATGCTTGTTTTTTACCGGGATTTATAAAATGTTAAGAAAATAAGGGAAATATGAACAATTGTAAAAGAAAATAAGGGATGGAAGGACATATTATAAGTGAGAGAAAAGTTATTCTTACTTATCATCTTCATTTATCCAATGAGGTGATCTATTCTTGCTCCATTGAATTTTCATCGAATTATTTTATTTCGTAAATATATTATTATTTATGCATGTGTTTTATTGCAAAAAAAAAATGTATGTGTTTGCTAAGAAAGATCATACCTCTTACGATGATTAACTTCTCTAATCTTGCTTCATAGGTCAGTGGTTGATGAACACATGATGTTTAACATACAGTTTAGCAAAGATTCATTTAACTTTCACATGTATCATTTTTTAATGTATCTCTTTTTTCATTTTAAGATATGAAGTCAAGTTCATCAACAATCATACGAAGTCATTTTAAATTTTTTGATTTATAATCCTTGAAAATTTATTACTCCAAGTCTGAAAATTAAATTTCTTAACATATGACGTAAAACTTCAGTAGAGTTTGCTAAATTAAAACGATCTAGAGCAAAAATGCAAAATAGTAATTTGAACTTAGGATACATTGTAAATTATTGCACCTATGATTCATATTTTTTCACTTAATTAGAATGAATAAGGTTTTTGTTTAAGAAATAGATTTTATTGCTTTGTCAAGTTTCTATTCAAACGTTTCTTGTTTTCTCTCTTTAATTTTCATCGTTATTTTGTCGCGATAAAATGTTATTATGTATGTGTGTTTGTATAAATTGTTCATCAAAATGTAACATATTTGTAAATTATTGTAAAAGTGAGTTAAAAATTTACTTAGTGAGCTTTAATAAGATATTTTTTTGGTTGAGAAAAAAGTTATATGTGTGACTCAAAGACATTACTCTATTGTTGCGTACATCTATACAATGCAAAAGTAAAAACTAAAACATAAAGGAAGTATTGGAAAAGAAAAATAAATATTAAAAAAGTTAGAGATAACAATGTAATATATGTCACTTTTCATACATTATTTATTATTGTGTACATTGATAATACAAAAAAAAAGGATAAAAGGGAAATGAAATATTAAATGAAGAGAGAGATAGCTCCATAAATATATCAATAACTATTTTTCTTTTTGTAAAAATATTGTCCACCTTGGCAATTTGTGAGCTCTCCAAGTGCTTAGGTGGCAAACAATTACTTTTGAATTGCCATAATATTATGTATAGATAGATAGATAGATGCATATAGAGAAAGTGAATTATTGTATCTGTATGGTGAATTTCTTTTATTTTCAAAAGAGAAATGAGACTCGGCTATTGAAAGAAAGAAAGGGCATACAAGTCTAATTATGGTTTTTGATATATGAAATTTAGTTATTATATATATATATATATATGGGGAGTTCTACGGTACCCCGGGTGAAATCCGGGGTACCGCATACCTTAAGTAAGAAAACGCTATCTAGAACTTGAATTGACTGATCTTTCGGACATATACTATACTCTAACCCATAAAGATCAAAATCTAGGTCTTAATTCTCTAAATCTTATATCCCAAGATCAATTTAATTAGAAATAATAATCGACGGTTATGATTCGTCCAAATATAGGCAAAAAAGTAATGCTCCATCTTAGGGTTTATAGTTTATGATTTAGATAATTAGGACCTAGGGTTCACTCATTAAGGGTTAGGGTATAGTATCATGCCCAAAAATCATGCTAATTCGAGGTCTAGATAGCGTTTTCATACTCAAGGTATGCGGTACCCCGGATTTCACCCGGGGTACCGTAGAAGGCACCATATATATATATATATATATATATATATATATATATATATATATGGTAATGACTGATATTCACAAATATATTCACGTGGATGGGTACAGACTAACCATACATGCATTTAAAACCAACATGACCATTATTGTCATTATATTTCATCATTACTTATATATATACACGCATACATATATAGCCTCTGTCAAACAAATGATTGGTTTATAGTTATTTTGTTTGAGATTATGTTATTATTAAATCTAATCGAACTTTCTGTTGTGAATATAGTTCAATATGTCAAATTTGTCAAAACTTGAGTTTGTGGCACTTGACATCACCGGAAAGAATTATCTATCTTGAATATTGGATGCTGAAATCCATCTAGATGCAAGAGGTCTCGGTGATACTATCAAAGAAGGAAATAAAGCCTCAAGTCAAGATAAGGCAAATGCCATGATTTTTCTACGTCACCACCTCCATGAGGGATTAAAGGTTGAATACCTTACGGTGAGAGATTCGGTCGATCTTTGGAATAATCTGAAGGAAAGATACAACCATCTAAGGATTGTGATCCTTCCAAGCGCACGTTTTGAGTGGTTACACTTACGGCTCCAAGATTTTAAATCTGAAAGCGAATATAATTTTGCAATATTCAGAATTACGTCACAGCTGAAATTGTGCGGAGAAAAGATCACTGATGAAGATCTCATGGAAAAGACTTTTTCCACATTTCATGAATCAAATGTGCTTTTGCAACAACAATATCGTGAAAAAGGTTTCAAGAGGTATTCTGAACTTATTTCCTGCCTCCTGGTAGCATAACAAAATAACGAGCTTCTAGTGAGGAACCACAGAGCCCGACCAACTGGTGCTACTGCATTCCCAAAAGTGAATGCGACAAGATATAACAAGTGCCGACCTCGTGGTCGTGGTCAAACTAGTCGTGGATATGCACGAGATGGCAATCCTTATCTTGGATGTGGGTTTCCACATTGTAATAGTTCAAAAAGCACATATGAACATGGTGGTAGTTCCAAAAATGCACATTTCCACCAGAAGTTGAAAAATAATAACCAAGTAGTGAAGGGTCAAGATGGTCACAAAACATCCGAGAATACTTGTTACCGTTGTGGCGGTAAAGGTCATTGGGCTTGTACCTGCCGTACGCCAAAACATCTCATAGATCTTTACCAGGAGTCAATCAAAGGAAAAGGAAAAAATATTGAGACAAATATGGTTTGTCAAGAAAATGCTCCTGAACATGGTCTATATGACTTCACGCATCTAGATGTGGCAGACTTCTATGCCAACCCAGAAGAGAAAAATTGATCACTTGTTTGGTATTTTATGACTTCGTTATCATATCAATATTTCGTATTTTCCTTGAATAATTGTTGTATTTGAGAACTTGTTATGTTTATCCTCTTGTTTGAATGTTTTAAATTAATGTTGTATTTCAAATATCTTTTGGTTGTAAGCTTGTTGTTCTTCGAATAAAAGATTTTTAATTGTTCACAGTTTGGTATTGGAGAATGGCTTTAACCACTGGGATCACCGGCACCAATAACCAAGATATATGCTTTATTGATAGTGCATCAACGCACATGATCCTGAAAGATAAAAAGTATTTCTCATATTTGAAAATGAGAAAAGCCGGTGTTAGTATTATTTCAGGAAAAACAAACATCATTGAAGGCTCCGGAAGAGCTAATTTATTATTGGCAGGAGGAACAAGATTGTGCATCACTGATGCCTTGTATTCAAGCAAGTCTTATAGAAACTTATTAAGTATCCGAAGAAATGGATATCATCTTGAGACAACAAATGAAGATGATATAGAATATATCTTCATCACCAATATGGCATCAGGTGAAAAATGCATATTGGAAAGATTGCCTGAATTTTCCTCCGGTTTGTACTATACGTACATTAACATGATTGAAACACATGCAATTTCGAACCCGAAGTTCGCAAATCATGATGAGTTTTTTATCTGGCATGATCGTTGGGTCATCCAGGATCAGTCATGATGCGAAGGATAATTGAAAATTCATATGGACATCCGTTAAAGAAACAACGAATACCACAATGGAAGGAAATATTATGTCCTGCTTGTTCTCAAGGAAAGTTGGTTGTAAGACCATCACCAGAGAAATTGAGAAATGAATCTATTAGATTCTTGGAACGTTTACATGGGGATATTTGTGGACCAATACACCCTTCTTGTGGACCATTTAGGTAGTTTATGGTATTGATTGATGCATCAACTGGATGGTCACATGTTTCATTACTATCCACCCGCAACTTGGCGTTTGCGAGGTTACTTGCTCAACTAATACGATTACGAGCTCATTTTCCTGATTACCCAATCAAGAAAATACGATTGGATAATGCTGGTGAATTTACATCCCAAACTTTCAATGATTATTGTATATCTTTGGGAATTGATGTGGAACATCCTGTAGCACATGTTCATACACAAAATGGTCATGCTGAATCATTCATCAAACGTTTACAGCTAATTGCAAGACCATTACCTATGAGAACAAATCTCTGAGCCTCCTGTTGGGGCCATGCCATTTTGCATGCAGCAAATTTGATTCGCATAAGGCCAACAAGTTATCATGAGCAATCTCCATTGCAGTTGGTTTTTGGAAATGAGCCTAATGTGTCCCACTTGAGAATATTTGGTTGTGCAGTATATGTACCAATTGCTCCACCACAACGCACAAAGATGAGATCTCAGAGAAAGTTGGGAATTTATGTTGGATAGGAGTCTCTTTCAATCATTAAGTATCTAGAACCAACGACCGGAGATATGTTTACAACCAGATTTGCTGACTGTCATTTTGATGAAACAGTCTTCCGAAAATTAGGGGGAGAGAATAAACAGCCAGGAAATAAGGTAAGTTGGAATGAATTATCATTATCTCATTTCGATCCTCGAACCCAACAGTGTGAACTTGAAGTTCAAAGAATAATTCATTTGCAAAGTTTAGCAAATCAATTGCCAGATGCATTTACTGATTTGAAAAGAGTGACCAAGTCTCATATTCCGGCTGCTAATGCTCCGATTAAGGTCGATGTCCCTATTGGTCAAATTGATGTGGCAAATGAATCAAAGGCACGCATGTAGCGTGGTAGACCTTTAGGTTCTAAAGATAAAAATCCTCGTAAAGGAAAAGGGATGAAAAATCAAGATGGTCCATGTAAGGATCTCCAAACATAATTACATCCGTTCCAGAAGAACATCAGGTACCTAAGAAAGATGAAAATACAGAGATCTCGATTAATTATGTTTTTTTATGGAAAACAATGGAACCGCAATGACGTTGAAGTCAATGAAAGTTTTGTGTACAATATGGCAGTTGATATCATGAATGAAAATGAAGATCATGAACCAAAGTCTATTGAGGAATGTAGACGAAAAGATGATTGGTTAAAATGGAAAGACGCGATATCTGCATAACTAAATTCACTTACAAAGCGAGAAGTATTTGGACCTGTAGTCCGTACCCCTCACAATATTAAACCAATAGGGTACAAGTGGGTATTTGTGCGAAAGCGCAACGAACATGGGGAAATTGTGAGATATAAGGCCCGACTGTTGCACAAGGGTTCTCACAGAGACCTGGAATTGACTATGAGGAGACATACTCCCCAGTAATAGATGCAACTACTTTTCGATATTTAATAAGTTTGACGGCTCAAGAAGGATTAGACTTGAGACTGCTGGATGTCGTCACAGCTTATTTATATGGCTCACTTGATAGCGATATATATATGAAGCTACCTGAAGGATTTAATTTGCCAGAAGCAAATAAATCAAACCCACGAGAACATTACTCGATAAAACTGAACAAGTCATTATATGGGTTAAAACAATCCGGACGAATGTGGTTTAATCGTCTCAGTGAATACTTATTGAAAGAAGGCTATAAGAATAACCTTATCTCCCCAGTGTTTTCCTAAGAAAATCTGGCAAAGAATTTGTAATCATTTCAGTTTATGTTGATGACATAAATATTATTGGGACTCCTGAAGAGCTTTCAAAAGCAGTAGATTGCTTAAAGAAAGAGTTCGAAATGAAGGACTTAGGAAAAACTAAGTTTTGTCTTGGATTACAAATCGAGCACTTGAGCAATGGAATTTTCATTCATCAAGAATGGTATTTAAAGAAGGTACTAAGAAAATTCTATATGGATAAATCAAATCCATTAAGCACACCTATGATTGTAAGATTACTGGATGTGGAAAAGGATCAATTTAGGCCTCGAGAAACTAATGAGGAGATACTTGGTCCAGAAGTACCATATCTTAGTGCGATCGGGGCATTAATGTATCTTGCTAATCATACAAGACCAGACATATCATTTGCTGTCAACTTGTTAGCAAGATTTAGTTCTTCACCTTCTCGAAGACACTGGAATGGCATAAAACACTTATTAAGGTATCTCCGAGGAACAATGGATATGGTTTTGTTCAATTCAAAATTACCCAAAGATAACTTAGTCTAAATGATTTCATCTCCTCGGCCCCGACTGTGAATTTCAGTCTCTGGTGGCGACATGTTATGCTTTCTGAGCACCCCCAAACCCACATTCTCCTATACGTTTGTGTATTATGGAGGATCTGGAAGTCTAGAAATAAGGTGGTCTTTGAGCATGTCCAGCCTCATGCCCGGTCTCTCGCTCGTCAGTGTTTTTTTCCAAGTTCGCGATCTGTCTTCCTCCCTTCCTTTGGTCCCTGCTCCGCCCCAGCCTTCCCGTTCTCGCCTCTCGTCTTGGTCCCCTCCTCCTGTTGGCTTTGTGAAGATCCTCTTTGATGCTGTTGTTCGTCCTTCTGGGTGCTCGTCTGGTCTTGTGGTGCGCAGTTCAGATGGGCATGTGGCTCTGGCTTTAGGGTCTCTCCATCCCGGTATTGCTGATCCCTATCTTGCGGAGCTCCTAGCAGCTAGGGACGCCATCGCCCTTGTAGTCTCCAAAGTGCTGCCTCGGGTCATCATAGAAGGAGATTCAGAGGTGGTGATTCGGCTGCTTCGTCAAGGTGCTCTCTCTGACTCCATTGGAGGTCCGGTGCTTCGGGATTGCTCCCTTCTCCTTTCTTCCGTCTCTATTTCTTTAGAGTTTAGGGCAGTTCCTCGGACTGCTAACAGTGCTGCCCATAGAGTGGCGCAGAAAGCACTGTTACTCTCCCCTTTAGAGTTTTGCGCCTTTGATTCTGTGGGTTGGCTTCTCTGATGTATTGGGTTGGGCAGGGTCGGGGTAGATTGTATAGGTTTTCTCTTGACATTTCTTGGGAAAAAAAAACTTAGTGGGATACGCAGATGCTGGATATCTGTCTGATCCGCATAATGGTCGATCACAGACCGGCTATTTATTTACATATGGAAATGCAGCCATTTCATGGAGATCCATAAAACAAACAATAACAGCCACATCCTCTAATCATGCATAAATCTTAGCAATACACGAGGCAAGTCGTGAATGTATATGGTTAAGATCCATAATTAATAACATCAACGAGACTTGCAGTTTATCTCCTGAAGAGATGATTCTGACTATCATGTATGAGGATAATGCGGCATGTATCACACAATTGAAGGAAGGGTATATCAAAGGGGATAGAACAAAACATATTTCACCAAAAATTTTCTTCATCCATAATCTTCAAAAGAATGGTGAAATAAAGGTACTTCAAATTCGGTCATGTGATAATTTGGCGGATTTGTTCACAAAATCACTTCCTACTGCAACATTCGAGAAGTTAGTCTACAAGATTGGAGTTCGTCGACTCAAGGATCTTCAGTGATATCAAGATGAGGGGAGCATATACGCACACCGTACTCTTTTTCCCTTAACCGTGGTTTTTTCCCACTGGATTTTCCTGGTAAGGTTTTTAACGAGGCAGTATGCATGCGTATTAGAAGCAACGAGCTCTACTCAAACTACTCAACAATGGACATCCAAGGGGGAGTATTATAGTATTGAGTGGATGTCCATCATACACATCCTCCATCTACTATCTCCCAACCCCCTATAGATCACCATTATGATTATCATTATGGCTTGATCTCACTCATTGCTTATAAAAGGCAATCTAGTAGCAGAAAAAAGGACACACCAAAAAGCCATATAGCTTCTTCACTTCTCCCTTGTAGCCATATCATTACTTGTAGCTTGTACTACGTGAGTATTAATAAAGAAGTTACTCTTCTTATTACCTTATTGTTTATTCCGAAGTAATTGTTTTATAACAAAATTAAGCCTCCTTATTCTTGCAAAACTTGCAGCCACCCTATCCACCAAAATCCGGCCACCATTCATGCACCAACTCCAAATGCCCGCCACTATTGTCGCTTCCTCTCTTCGCCCCAATTCAATTTTTTTTAATAAATCCCCACCCCACCACTAGAACCTCCCCGCCGTGGATGTCGTATGAATCGCCCATCTCCAAAATCAACTCCAAGTCGTGTCTTTCCCTTCTTCTTACCCCCAGAATCAACTCCCAGCCGGCACCGGGTATATCCCTTCACCACATTGCCGGAATCAACTCCCGCTATCGTATGTCCCAGATACATGTGTCCCTTCTCCCCCTGCGGTGAGCATAACGATGATATTGATGGAGGCGGTTGACAGGTGGAAATCGACGACAATGGGCCACCGGCAGTGGAAATTAACGCCTGGCGGACGAGCGCATATAATGGCAGCGACGGTTATCAATGTGGGTCCAGTTTTCTTATGGATGTGTTTATTAGAATAAAATATTTTCTAAAAATAAATTGGTGAAGGATAAATATGTAATTATAACATTTAAATTAGTGCGATTGTAGTAAAATTAGGGCGACATTTAGCAATCCCCTATGAAAAATGATAGTGTACAAAATATAAATCTATTACAAACTTGCATGTCACTGTTGTATGAGAAAGGCTCCTGCCAACGATCCAAATTAATTTTCCAAAAAAAATATCGGAAAGCAACCTAGTAATTCCGTACGCCCCTGTCTTTTCTATTTTTTTGTACTGACACG